AGGTCGTTGAAGCGATGTTCAAGTACAAAGTATCTTAGGAGGAACCATTTCAAATCCTTTTTCTAAGCTCTTGTTTCCTCTAAGCTTTGAGATATCTACATCATCACTGGAAGAGCTAGAGCAGCTTAGGTCCACGTATTCCAATAGAGTTAAAGCGTTTGTTATTTGTGGTACAAACAACTGTCGTAGTTCATYCTTTGTCGCATTTTCGGCAATAAGCCGCAAGCGTGCTCGACGATTTGACGTTATGTAACAGGTCAGTTACACATTTACTAGCTTTAACCTTACAACGAGAGCTAGAATGGTGACTGGGGTTTTTCGTGTAATGGCTTGATAGCTTCTGTTTATGTCGAAACGWCTCAAAACAAAATTCCATTGTGAAAAAAGATCGACTAAATTCCCTTCTGAAAAACACGTGTGTATTTAAGGTGGAAAATGTTTCATATGAGCATTCAATTCTTAAAGGTTTAATTCTAYAATCATTTTGTTTAGTTATGTAAATAAATTTAACACTACTTGTACTTTTTGATTGAGTGAAAGGCGAGCTGCGGGTTTTCCCTTTTCTTTATTTACACTTTCAGATATGACCGCTTAACAAAAATGCACGGGCTCAYTGGCTTTAATTTTTGCGGTTTTTACTGGCGCCTTGCGCGCACTGGTAAATAGCGGGAAATACGAACGAAAGATAGACCAATCAAGTCTACGCTATTTAGTGAAAACAATGTCAGACCTTTTAAATTCCTTAGAAATGTACAAGTATAAACAAAAGATCACAATATCAACTGGTGATTATTGTTTGAAATACCTGAGGCAAACGTGTGTTCCAGCAAATAATATTATTTACAATATGAACATTCCAAACGAGCATCGCACAAGCCACTAATGAACTCAAGGATCAAGGCGTGCTATCCCAATACTCGTTTGTCGATAGTTTTGAACGTTTCGATTTTAACCCAGTATTGTATTAAGATAAAGGATCGTTGCACAAGAGTAGAAAATTTGATCTTCAAAAGTTCAAACCTTGTCAAGGGAACTTGCAGAAAGCTCTATTTTGGTGGGAAAACCCGCTGACTCGTCCCGGGCTCAAATGTCCGGAATTTCTGGCCAKGGGAAAAGAAAGAAAATTGTAATTCTATATTGAGAGACATCCCGACTTCGATGTGGCTTACGGTACTTTGYGAAACGAAACGAAACGAAGTCTGTAGCTTGCGAAACTGTAGTTTGCGAAATGTATTGAAATTTAAGCTTATTATAGGCTTCTTCTTACTCTGATAAGACCTCGCATTTACCTTTATATCCTTATTTTGAGTAAGGTTTCAAGGCCAGAGTTTTGTCAAAATWGTTTTTGAACGTTTTCAAAAATAAATTAATAAATAAAAGAAATTGGTGGTTTTCCGATGTCAGTTGGAGTGAAATAACTATTTATTGCAAAAAGCTTTGATTTTATCATGGAAATTATGATTGTCCAACCTTTATCTGGTTTATCTTTTGTATCTCAAGGTAACCAATGTACCTCACGGCTAGTAGTCGCTAAGGCGGATTTTTGTTTTTGCTAATCAGCATAAAGTTTCAATCTAAAAAAAATGTAAAATAAGTTCATAATTAAATAACTATATTTCAAATATAGTTATTTAATTATGAACTTATTTTACATTTTTTCGTTTACGAATGTTCGAGTACAGATTTCGCAAACTACAGTTTCGCAAACTACAGATTTCGCTTCGTTTCGTTTCCCAAATTATCATAAGCCAGCTCGTTCAAATGCCTAGCTTTCTCTATCAAAACACTCAGCTGAAATCAGGCGAACTTCAAGCACTTCGCGGTGTATAGTCCTCGTCTATCAAGTTTACTTTTGCAAATGCTCGATGCAATAACTCCTCGGTTGCTGGAAAAGAAAGAAAATCGTAATTCTATATTGAGGGACATYCACTTCGAAAAAGTAAACATATCTACACCGACGGCCGCGACGATAGAAGAATCAGTGAAAATTTGTGAGTAAGTTGTAATAACAATGTATTTGTGTATGAAAATAAACTGAATCTATGAAACAAGGAGCCAATCCCCTTCTTTTTAGCCGACAATTACTGAATGATGATTTCTGTGTCATTAACTCGGAGATTGCGTTAGCAATCGAAGAGTTATTGTGGGGGATCGATCTGTCACTCACTCAGTCAGTCACTCACTTTCCTGTAAACTGTGTTGTTGCCTTAGTAAATGCTATTTTTTGACTTATTTTTTAACTTATTTTTTAACTATTCATCTTCACGGTCTACCTGTTTCATTTTTTTTCGAAGAGAAAGAAATTCATGTACTCGATGTGGCTCGAACTTCCGAACTCTCGCATCAACGGWTTCTGCTTCGAGTGTGTGTCGACAATTAGAAAGAGTCAGGGAAACGGATCCAGGGAACATGAAGCTTCTCGGCTGTTGATAAACGTCGGCCGAATTTGACCATCTAAGAACTTACGTAGAAAACAAGATTTCAATATGCCCTTTGGACCTTCAGGTAAGCTATCAAAGTGCAGAAATTTACTATTTTGTGTAAAACTTATATAAAAGGCGCCTTCTAAGTACTCGAAGATTTGTAGAAGATTTTCGGGCGATCGGCGATACAAACAACATGGCATAAGAGTCAAAGCTTGTTTATTATTGATGTATTTATGCCCGTGAGTTTTCAAATATACGYACACGGCAGTCGAGACTAAATCATTAATTTCATCGCTAAATCCAACCCAAACCTTACCCTAAACCTAACCTAGAACTAACCAAGGACTWTTGTTCAGTAATTTAGTTTTTTTTTTTGCCAACAGATAGAGGGAGGCAACGGGTTGCAAGTTGACCAGTGAGACTTCTCCTATATACTTTTGAGTAATTCTTCTACATAATATACGATATAAAAGCCATATAATAAACGAGTTATTAACCTCGCTTACTCGATCTGTACAGGAAAATATCAGACCTCGGTCTTTTATGTACGGACCTCGCGATGCGCTCGGTCCGTACTGTCAAGACCTCGGTCTGATATTTTCCCGTACAGACCTCGCGCTTCGGTTAATAACCTCTTATTTTTTTTTCGGTCCGGTATCCTAGTCATTCGCGCGCTGTGATTGGCTAGTGCGCGGTCCGGTTTTTCACGATCTGCCCGGTCCGACGGTATCCTGTCTGCAGTTACCGGACCTCCCAGCCGGTAAATAACATAAATATAATTTGAGGTAAAGCATATTATTACTATTGAACTATTTCTTCGAATGTTATCACTAAATATATCTGTCAAGTTAAATTTCTTACACGAGTCACTGGCTTCTCAAATCCATGTATTGGACAAAAGAGACATGAGGACAACTGACAAGAATTCCAAAGAATATTGTCACCTTTTAAAGGGACAMTGTCAATGGATGCGCACCTCTAACGGACTTTGAAAGTATAACCTTCGAGGTAAATCATTTTGTGTTGCTTTTGACACACTTTGGAATATTCTAGATCTGTTTACGTTTACGATCTGATTTATGTCGCGCCAACTTGGAGTCATAAACTTGAAAACACTAGCCTAGTGTTTTAAAGTTTACTCTCGCATGTGTGCCATTGACAGTGTCCCTTTAAAGTATGGTAAAAAAAAGATAAATCCCGGATGGTGGCGGGGGGGTGGGGGGAGGTACTCCCCTATATTCGCTATACGGGTACGTGCCGCCAACCAGGATCGATATCGTTTTCAGCGATGATACTCTGGAACAGGGTATCGATTTCAACGATTTTACTCTGGAACAAGGTCAGGGTTTAATTTCGGAGTTATCGATGCTGGAACAGARTATAGTTTCGGTGATTTTACTATGGGAAAGGGTATAGTTTCGGTGCTTTTACTCTAGAACAGGGTATAGTTTTCAGCGATKTCACTCTGGAACAGGGTCAGGGTTTTGAGGTCCCAGAGGCACACCCCCACCCAATTTTGGGTGGTAGTACCCCCCGGGGATAAATCAATAACCTAACGGTTATAAAGACGAACATAAACAGCTAATAATGAGCGATATAGGAAAAGGCAAGCACGATATTATGTGTAACTCATTTTTGGGCTTGTGTATATTGCTATAGCTAGACCTTATTCTTCATATTCAAGTCTGTTGTGCTTTTTCGAAATGTCTTTGCATCGGTTTTATATAGAAACTAAATTAATCTGGCAACGTAAATAGAGTACCTAAAATATACTGATTTATTTAATTTTTAGCAAGGTTTTATTTACATCAAATAAACAAGTATATAAAGCWACGGATTGTTGTAGCATGTGATTGTAGAAGCGTCACAAGGGGAAAAGCTTTCTAYTGCCGTCCAAAGAAACGCGATATTTTTAGGTGCGACGTCCGACGCACATATCAACCTCGTCCCCAGGCTCTTATCTCTTATTTTGAGACCAGGCGGGAAATGGGTAGAGGTTATAACGACATTACGTCAAAACTAGCAACAACAACAACAAAAAAGGACTCAATAAAAACCAAACCCTAACCCTTAGTTTAGAAGCTTTTAGACCTAACACTAACCTTGGAGCTATAAATATTTCTAGAGTATTGAACTTAAATGCGAACATTGGTTGAAATTATCGTTCTTGCGAAAATGCCAATAGCTTTTCCCGACACATAGACGAAGGAATAAGGGCCTAGGAACGAGGTTGCCCCTTGAGTAGTACGCTAAAKTATACACAAGTGAGCGTAAAAGCACAAGTGATGCAATAATTTTTAAAAATAACACAACACTTTTAAATTTCAAAGACATGTTTCCACTTTCATAAAGCCATCTTCCGATGCAAATCRCATTCAAACTGAAGATGGCTTTATGAATGTCGAAACATGTCTTTGAAATTTAAAAGTGTTGTGTTATTTTTAAAAATTAAAGTATACACCTACTTGCAGATACGTTGTCATAGAAAATAGAACATTTGAATTTAGTAAAAAGGAATAAATTAAAACAAGACAAAAGAGAGCGTTCAGCCTCAGTGATCTTCTTTTGTCTTTTTAATGTATTCCTTTTTACTAAATACAAATGTCCTATTTTCTATGACAACGTTTCTGCAAGTAGGTGTATATCACGGGTTTAACACTTTATTTCGCTATGGATGTTCGAGCCTCAGCGAACGGATGTTCGCAACTCGAGCCTCAAGTCGTTGTATACGTAGCCTGAGGTATCGTTCGTTAGTATAAATTTCTATAAGTGTATACTATTCATTTGATATATGCTAGCTCATATTTAAAGAAAATTGCCATATTTGACTAAAGGCATTTGATTTACACGTTTCTATGACGACGCTCTTCATTGAGTCCTTAGAGTCGAGACACATTCCGGAAGATTTGTGACGAAGATTGCGAGATGAAGTGTGCTCCCACACCTAAGACAAACCAATTGAAAATACAGTTGTGTTAACCAAGGGATCATTCACAAACAATAGATCATTGCACCGTATCGTCAATTTAAGAAATACAAGATATTTCCGTGTTTTCACTCTCTGTTAGAAAAAGGCGGGATTGTTAAGACGACACGAGAATGGTTTTGAATCACGAGCAAAAAGCGATTCAAAGCCTTTCTCGTGTTCTCTCAATACCCCAAGCGATTCAAAYTGCGAATGCAAATATGGAAAATATCTTCTAATGCTTTTATAAGCAACATCTCTTTGCTTGATAGCCGTGTTTCACAGGCACATTTCAATTAATCATACCCGCGTTATATAATAGTTATTTYATAAATTGCTACAAAATATTTWGACTATTTTCTTTAGTAATTTCAATTGGAACAGTCAAGTTTTACTAATTTTAACAAAAAACTGAATAGTTAAGGAAGCACGCAGAGCATTCTGGTAGTTGTAATAAAATGACTYCATCTTGCAAAAGTTGTATGTTGTATTTTTGGGACCAAACTCAGTCTACATACACTGCGGGGATGRATTAAATACCCACCTGCTTGGAATCTCCACTTCGGCATCCCTCTAATCTGACTTGACTTCCGGTAGACATATCACCAATAGTAAGACAGAGATCTAAGTGCCGAACTGTGTGCTTTTGAGTTAATGCCCACTCCTTAAATAGACGATAAGTAAGATAAGTCAATACAGATGTATATACATAGACATTTTACATTGTCCGTGTTTCCAGACCAAATCAAATATGGATATAAATTATTCTAAAATGAAAGAGAAAAGAGCACAGGAGATCAATTACTTATCGGTACCACTAAGATGATTCGAAAAGTAATTAATTTTACGACAAGAAAATGATAATGGAGYATTTCACTCGCCATGGACCGATGTATGCACCAGGTAGATGGGACACTTTTTCGGAGAACGCTCGGGTTCAAACATTCGCAAAGGCTTCGGAAGCCCTCGAGAGCTGTCGCAAAGTTCGCAAGTGAAACGAAAGTACTTTTGTAGCTGTCGACAAAGGGTCGGCTTTGGTGACACCAACGTGTTACGGATTGATTGCGTGCTGTCGCCATTTTACGTAAAATAAGTCTGTAAAAAGAGTAAGAGTTTATAGTCGTAAACGTCTAGCTAAAAGCTTTCTGGAGAACCAATTCCTCGAAAAGTGTATTCTCCTACTTTGCTTCCCATTCTTTCTTGTAAGTTAGCAGTATAAAATGAGAGTTGCGGGCCGTACACAACTGTTGAAAGTCAATTAAGTTTTGACAAGGTTTCGCCGGATTCTARCCTGCGTGGCGGCTCTAGGGGAAGGGAGAGGGGGGAAACGGAAGGGGAGGGGGTGGGGAGGCGGAGCTAGCCGGATTCCGGCATCRTCAGATCACGAAAATCTAAAACAACAGTACAACTAGTTAAATTAGCATACGGGGCCGAGTAACTGTGACGTATAAAAGTTTATTTCAACTATCATTTTAACTCATAATGCTACTGAARGTCAATTTCCTAATTCTTGGGCAGTATAAGTTCGTTTTTTTCGGTGAAATATTGGACTTGCTTAGCAAACAATTCATGCTAAAAACGCGAAAGTATATCTTAGCACTGCTGCATACTTTCTGAACAAAAATTATGACACGCCATATTTTTCGCCATACTTTCGGTGAAAGTTCGCCTGCCCGTCRAGTCTTCGTTTTCTGAAAAAGCGTCCCATCTACCTGGTGCACACATCGATCCATCACGTGACCTGTGTTTCATACCTTGTCATAGACTAGTGTTGAGCAATGCTCTAGTGTAGAGCCGCGAGGAACGGGACCGTRACGTAATAACACAGGTAATCCGCATTTTGCTAAGAGCGCGCGAAGATAACAACAGTCGGCGCATTCGTTTTCTCTCTCTCAAGCAATGRTTGGGCGGCCTATGGTATTATAGTTTTTTGATTGGTCGGTATTATCTAAGTAGTCCGGTCATACTACCAAGACCAGAATGCCTCGCTCATTTTTTAGAATGTAATTAGTAATAATTGACTTTGTCGAAGTGATTTAMAATCTGAATAAGAATGAAGATACGCTAAAACAGAGCAATAGTATGGTAAAGTACCTGATTCCCGCCTTGACCATGACAATCAAACATGCCAACCGGACCATTTGCCTGATTACCTAGCGTATCCAAACAGTGTTTTCCTTGCTTTAGTTCGCCAAATGAAACGTCCTCATAATCTGGAACTCTATGAAGTGAATATTTGCTTGTGATATGAAAAAGTAATGAACTAATAAAGAATGGAACAAAAGGAAGGGAGTTAGAAAGTCAAGGAGCCAAAAGGGACATGAAAGGATTGATGGATGGCAACTTATAAGGAAGGAGATGGCGCGAAGGAGGGAGCAAGAACACGAGGGAAGTAAAGAAGAAAGTAAGAAGTGRAAGAGTGTGAAAGCGGTCCGATGAAATTCGGCTCAGAAATAGTTTTCCCTCGAATTTCTACTATGAATTGACCTATCATAGTAAGTAATGAAAATCGACTTTCTTTTTCGAAATTCGTTAAATTATTTTTTTCAGCCTATTTTTACAGGTCAACCGTCTTCGCTAAATTGTCAAATTTTTCGCGATAGGAAATCGAACATTTTCAGAACAGCATAACTCACAAATTATAGAACGAAGTACCTAAATATTTTTAGCCATTTTTTTAGATGTATCTGTGTACTAAATAGTAGCAAAATTTTGAATATCAAATATGAGGGAAAAATAATACACTATACGAAGCGAACCCCATTATTCGTCTTTTTGAAATCACGGCGAAGTATACTTTACCAAGTAGCTTTTATCTGCCAAGTCCAACACAGTTTGCTTAAAATTTTTAATGAATTCTACTAACCTAAGGTTGGTTAACAAGAACCCATAAAAAAATTTTGCGCTTTTGAGCTATATTTTGTACAGCAGCCACGTAATTTTCGTGTTTTTCACTAACTTGCCGTTAAAATATGCATATTAGGCATCCATTTTCATTAAGACTTAATACATTTATGGTTAAATCTAACAATTTTCGGTATTTTAATCCGCGTTAAGAATTAAAACTGCACCTGATTCTTTCTTCAGCGAGTTATTTGATGTGTTTTGACGCTTATGTAAATTTCATATTGATTACGGTTAGTCAAAAATGAGGTTGCAATACTTTATATCTTTTTAATAGACCCAAACGAATATTTAAACCTTGGGAATATACATAAATAAATGTATAAATAAGTTAATTAATAAAGTTTGAAAAAGTTAAAAGCAAAATGTCAAAACACACGTTAAAGACAGCCTTTATGCACTAGTACCCCCGTACCCCGCCCAACGGGGAATAGCGGGGAATTTAAGGTTGGAGTGGTGTTAAAATGAAACTCGGTAGTCAGGGCTACATACATTGTTAAAATCCCCTCTACTGTTGCACCGCTATTTTGGTCTAGTAGTAAATAACAAAACAAACACCTTTTAATCAAATTTTCTGTGATACACAGGGTTAGTTTTTGCACAATCCTCAGTGTGTACTCATTTGCGTACTGGACGGAGAACAAAATGTGTAATAAGGTTCTTTAAAAAAAAGTTTTCATGCAAGGAAAAATAAACAAATAAGAAAACAGGGTTAAATACCAATGCTTTCAGGGTATTTCTCAATAGACGGCAATTGTCTCGCTTTAATGWAAAGGCTTGTCTGTCTAGATGGCGCTTGGAAACATAAATTCATGTCACGGACATTTCAACGATTAAAGGAAGCAGAAGTTTAGTTACGCAGTTTTCAAGGAAGAAATAAGGGAACAAGAAAGAAAGAAAAAGCAAGAGACGTACAGTTAAAAGGTCTTACTGTAGTTCAGGATATACTGTTTCTAGATACCACTTGAATGATTTACACTTGAGTTTTGTACGAAGCTGTTTGCGTGCCATAACACTGACAAAAAGAACAGAATATTATGTGTTATTACTAACAATATAAATGGAATARCGCCAGCACWGCAGCTACTCAGATGGGAGGGGAGAAAATMATCTTTAGGGTATCCTTACTTTCCGTAAGGTGCACTTCTTGCCAATGGTCTTGCAGCATAGTAGAACTTCTTGTATTCATCCATCCAAACTTCAGCAGTACGCCTCGTATTCCTAAGAAAACAAAGATAATATGCTTCAGTGTGATATGATGTAAAGAACTGGAGAGGCAAATGAAACTAAAAAGGACGTGGGGGAGTGTAAGAGAATTAACACGAAAAATGGTACTGCTAGTGATTTTTTGGTCTTTTTGAGATTTCTAAAACATTTTAATAATTAAATTAAAAAGCAATTTCATATAACGTAGCAAAGAGTGAAAAAATCCTGAGAGTACTGTCAGACGTGATAATGAGTACGATACCATGAAACCGTGATATTGTTTTATCATTTTATGAGTATTTTTGTTATTTTKTTTGTATTTTTGTATATTTATTTTCGGCGGTTTACCGACTTCACTACATTATTAATAATTATAATTTGATAAATACGAATTATTAATTTCTCATCTTTAATTTTGAACCAATCTAAACACAACTTCGAAAACACGGATCATTTTTGTGTTCAAAATACTGCAAAACAAACGCTGTCAAAGGATCTCGGAAGCATGTGGGCCTTTAAAAGCTCATTTTCTATGCTCAGAAAAACACAAATACACATTTTTAAAAGAAAAATCACTGTCAACATCTACAACAAAACAAGGCTTACTTCATGTACGTATTAGCATTGCCATCAGGGAAGGTGTATGGATGCCTCTTCCTAAACACGTGACCAACACGAGAACATGGAATGATCTCCATGACACCTCCACACTGCCATGTGCGAAAAGAGATTTCTAACAAGAAAACATCAAAGATTAGATTGTTGAACAATCTCCACAAAATAAAATGCAGGGTGATAATCTAACTGTTCTTGTTTAGTTGACCATGTTAGAAGTAATATTTCAAAAACTTATACATAATTAATGAGTTATTAGGCCAATAGAATGAGCCTATTTGGTCACATGCATGGACCTTTATATCTGATTTTAAAAACACTTTTCAAACGGTTTTTATTGCGTCAATGATTCAAGAATTATTAACAAAGGTCTGCGCATGTATTTTGTACGATATACAAGMCCGCGTTAYTTTCAAAAGCAAGATACGACAGCACAGATACAACAGGTTAGTCATATGATTGTTTCGTGAGGACGTATACACTTACGGTCAAAGTTGTGTAACCTTGTGTTGGATTATGGCCTGTACGACTCTTAAACTCCCCCCCCCCCCCAATGTTTATTAAGTCAATCCCATGTTTAAATATCGGTCTAAGTCGTATAAACCGATGTACCTGTTGACCTTTTGACAACCGTGCATTGCCTTCTATATGTATAGTTCAAAACACGAGAGAGAGTGTGTTTTAAACGGCTTCAAAAACTCCAACACTAATTTGAAACTCAAATCCGTTAAAATTCTTGGAGAAATTGCCGTAAAAATAAGTTTTGAGATAAATGGGCCAAACTGATCATGCGCGAATCGCTGTACAAAGCACTCTTGTCATCCCACATTAAATACGCATAAAGTAAAGTAGAAGGGCTGTTGGCTGTTTGCTGCAATCGGTTGACATCATGGACCTTTATATCTGATAAAGGTCACCCTAATTGGTATTCTTTATATAAAGAAGGTTAAATCTATTGGCCTAAATGTATGAGTTATTTGCGAGCGTAATAAAGAAATTGAAAATGTAATAAAGTATGCAACAACAACAATACAAAAAAAAAACTTAAAAAGAAATTATCGACCTGAAATAACATAGYTAAAAGATCTAGTTTGTAACAATCAAACGTCTAGGGGTGGACGCGCGTATTCGTGGCGCTTGATAGAACATAAAGTATAATAATCATAGACTGAGGAGCAGTCGAGTTCGGATAGCATTKGAAAAATTAACGGATTCYATCAAAAAAAACGTTAATACTATTTCAAAATTTGTTTTCTGAGTAATATATTGGGGAGCTATAGCCCTCTTCCCCACCTGTTTTATAAGATTAGAAGATCAGATGACAATACATGAAATCAAAAGAAAYGTTTCAGATGTTGTACTCGATGTTACATGCAGTAAAGCACTGTGTGAGGATTACATTATTTCCAGGGAGGGGTGCAGGGCACTCAGCCAGGGMGCTCTCCAAGAAACCATGACAAAKGAKACACAAATAAAAGGAAGCRTACTAAATCTCGWGGGGRYGAGGGGGTTATTRCAAACTCCCTGCGCCCACCAGCTGAATTAGCCTCTGTCTGTAGCTAAMAACAARCTTTATCAAATAATTATCTATGAAATACCTRTATTTCTCCATTTCGTAAAGTTGATATCTTCACTAGTGAAAATAACATCATGTTATTTTCACTAGTGAAAATAACACATTCGAGGTTTCTCTTTATAGTGAAAGTAAGAAAAAAGCTATTTTACGGCATAATTTGCTTTCAAATGTAATATATGTAGTATATGATAAACAGAATATTACATGGTCGCTTGGAGATACGAATTATATCTTGTCGTGTTGAAAATCCTCACTCGTGAGAGATCTTTTCAACACTCGAAGATAAAATCCGTATCTCCGTGCGCCCATGTAATATCCTCTATTTAACAAGTGGATATAAGTTTTACTTCATATTTATGACAGGCAAAACAGAGAATCATATGGTAGAATATTGCAAATTTACCAAGCTTATCCAATTTTTTAAGAAATTCAAACTTGATATATCAGAAGCAAAGAAACAAAGGACACCAAATCAAATGAAATAAGTGTGGTATTTTTTCACACAAGTCAGATATGTAATTATTAATTATAGTAACCACATTAGCATATTTATCATGTATTTGATTCTTCATAAATAGCAAAACAATTGTCCGATCGCTGATATATCATGTATGGCCTTTTGTAATGGGTATAACATGTAAATACATCTGATTTCATGCTCGAAAATTTCAAAATTCACGAGTTTTGACCAAAACATAATGACCATGTAAACAATGCTTACAATCTTGAAAGGCCAAAATATCCATCTTCGCCAATTTTTGAATTAAAGACATTCATAAAACAGTATCAATCAATACATACGATTATAATCATTTCTGCTTGGTTTGCATTGGTATTTTCACTAGATTTAATAATATTTCAAGATGAAAATTTTCAAAAAGCGCGGATTGAACAATTATCGCATAAACTTAAGGCTGTGTGAATCTTGCCGATTTCAAAACAAAATGTTGTCATAAAGTACAAATAGCATCCAATTTGCATGACTATATATATAAGAACAGGCACCAGAGCATCTTGTTACCTAAGATAAACCAACGACAAAGTATGGTTTTGACCACATTTCAGTCGTCATTTTATATTATCCATTCTAAAATATTTAGGATACTACGCGCGCTGTGATTGGTCGAAAACCGTGTTTGATTACAGTATCAAAACACGCTCGCGCGCGTCAAAAATTTCTTTTTTCCCGCCGTTTGCATTTGTTGTTGTTATCATTCATTTTCAAGAACAATGAACGAAGAAATGCCTATTTATGATGTCCTCTGGGATGATATCCCAGAAGAAGAGCTATCAAACGTTTTAGAAG